ACGCCGACAGCTCACAGAGGAACAAACATGGAGGAAAGGTTCTTCACGGAGGATTTTCACTTTTCCTGACGGTCTGGATGACAAACCTCAGAAAGTTCTCTCGTCCTTGGATTCTTGGATTTCCTGATTTCACCTTCATACAATATTTTATCGAGACAGGTTTCGTCTGCAGTTCTGTTTTAATGTAGAAAGTTAAAAGTAAAATTCTCGTACAGCTTAGATTGGCTGGCAATTACACTTTTAAATTAATAAACTAAAATCAGTTTGATCTGAAATGTGAGGTAGCAGAATGAAGTACACTTCCAGTTCCTTTTTGAAAGGTTTTTTTCTCTGAACTACAATTTTAAGTTTTTTCTAAAGCCAAAATCACTATTTAGCTAAAAATCTAGTTTTTGAATGTTTCTTTTAAACTATTTCTTTAGTAAAACAAAAAGTCCAAATTTAGCAAAAGAAAATTTTCTCTGACTTTTAATTGTATTTGCATGTTAATCAAAAATCAAGCTAAAAACTGAATTTTTTTTTATCAAAAAGATTTTAGTGAAAGAAAAATCTTTTAGTAGTAATTGTAATTAAGTTGTCAAAAAAATCCAAGTGTAGCAAAAAAATAGAAAAATCTAAATCTAATTTTCTCAGATCAATCATATTTTTCTTAGTCAAACAAAAATCTCAATCTAGCTTGAATCTGTTTCCCACTGTTTCTCTTAATTTCAGTGAAATTCAGGCTGCTGTTTCTACCTGCTGACTTCACATTAAAATTTGTTCCAGCTCAGATTTATAAAGTTTTTTCGGCTCTGGGACTCAAACAGCTTCCGGTGAAATGTTGGCGGTCGTTCTCTGGTGAGCAGGCTGTGATTGAAGTTTGAGCTTCACTGTGCAGTCGGTCGCTGCTGCATCAGCTGTGACTCCAGAGGGTTAAACTGTCGTGATGGAGGCGGCACACACAGCGCCGTGAGGCCAGAGTGTCTTGAGTTACGTTGAGAAACTGAAGCTGCTGGCTCTGGTTACCTGTCGGGTACCTGTGGACGTGACGACAGCAGCAGCAGAGGACGGGACAAGGTCCACAGGTTTTTATCAGTTCAGTGGAAATGTAATGTGGACTGACGGGGCGGGATCCAGGACAGAGGTGAAACAGGTGAGACACAAAAGCAAAGCGTGAGACAGAGAGCGGATTATACAAAGAGCAGCAGGATTAAAACTGATGAGCTCCGTTCAGCTCGGAGGACAAATATTTGGATGAGAACACAGAGTCCTGGTCCTGTAGGCTCAATTCAATCTCTCAAACTTTGAGGATGTAAATTCCTCACCTGGACCGACCCTGACGCCACCTGTTTGGATTCAATGAAGCACCGCAAACAATATTCAGTCTGAGCAGTTTCAGCGTCCGAGCTGGACCTACGGGACGGGGGTCATGTACGTCCTGTGCACCCTGGCGGTCCTGACCCTCCACAGCCTCATCAAGAGCTGGAACAACAAGGCCGTAGAGCCCGGCGGGAGCTCGGAGGCCACGGGGCGGAAAGGTCGCCCTGGGGATGGAGGCAGAGGCGTCCCTGAGGTCTGTGGAGCGTCCAGGCCTCGGGTTGGGGAGCACGGAGGACCGAGGAGCTGCAGAGCTGAAGGGAAGAAGAGGCGAGGAGGAGGAGGTGTGCGTAACGTCCCCGACAGCAGGAAGCGGGTTCAGGTGAGGAGATGGAGATCAGGTTCAGTCAGGAGAGTTTAAAGCAAGACTGGTGAGGAAATAATGGAGGAAAGTACTTTTACTCAAGTACTTTACACATTGGAGCTACTTCTTTCCTTTGTTCTTCTCAAAAGTCAAAATCTAGATGAAAATTTCAAGTTTTTGAAAGTTTCTCTCCGACCGATAATCCTATCGTACTCTACAGATTGGATTTGTTTTTCCATTTCATGTTTTAGTTACATTCTAAGTTCTACAACATGTCAATTCAAAATCTCATTATCTCATCAAATTCAAATTAAAGACGCCTTTAGTCGAGGTTTACCACAATAATGGATATAAACAATCATTCACACAACAATAATCAATCTAAATACAAACAGGCTGAAATCAAAAGCCTGCAAAGGTTTAATACAGACAATATACATCCAGTTCCCTTAAACACTATCGGCCCTAAATCTGCAGATTTCCTTTGGGAGTTCTGCATTGCAGGCTACCACAAAGCTGGCAAGAGGAAGTTCAACAGGTCATTTATGTTGGGAGCCATCTGGAATTAACTAAATGTTTTTTTATATTATTACAATATTATCTTTTCAACCGGAGTTATATGAGCTCTGAACCAAAACAGTTACTTCAGCTTTATCCGTGTTACAATTGTTGATTTGCAGCACTTGTACGGGATTATCGTCCCCTGGTGATATGGTTGTGTAAACGTGTGTCATCTGCATAATTATGGTACATACACTACTCACAAAAAGTTAGGGATATTCCACTTTCGGGTGAAATTTATGGAAAATGTAAAAAGTTGATGCTACAGTGATATTATATCATGAAAGTAGGGCATTTAAGATCACCTGGAAAGGTTATAGTGCATTTTATGTACATTCTGAAATTTCATCCGAAAGCCGAATATCCCTAACTTTGTGTGAGTAGTGTATATTGTCTGTATAATCTGGTCTTGTGGGAGCATGTAGATGTTGAAGAGGCCACAGAGTGGAGCCTTGGGGAACTCCACAGGTAGAAGCCTAGAGGACTTTTAGCTCTTTCACTTGTTTTTTACGTTGTTGTGTTGCTGTTTTTATTAAAGTAAAAGGTTCGAATACTTCATCCATGACTGATGAGAACAATTTTTGTTTCGAGAGCTTGGCTGAGAAACTGCTCGGTCAATAAAATCCATCTGATTCTGACAAACAAACATCTGTACTTTTACAGTTGAACAATAAACGTTCCGATATGACGGCACAATAAATATTATCAGATCTTAAGGCGGCAGTAAATCTAACCTGAATCTGAACCTTTAAACTTCATTGGAAGATTTGTTATTGTTTTATGCTGCTCTCTGATTGGCCGACAGCTGTCTGATAACTTTATATCCATAGATCAGCTCAACAGTTTAAGCTCTGAATTAGTGTAATTAACCTGCAGGTAACCATAGCAACAGATAAAGCTAATCTAACCACAAGTTAAAATGACTATAAACATAAAAAAACAGTTCTGTTGTAAAAATGGCTATCAGCTGTATCTCAACAGAAATTAAACAAGCAAGCTAAAGTAAGCAAGCCAAACCTTAGCTTGCTTGTTCGCTAACGTTATTGCCAGCAAAATACTATGAGTGGATATGTTAGTTGGCTAACGTTAGCTTCCCCAGCTGACGGGATCGATGATACTAACTGATGTATTCTGACAAACAGTGTTGATGTTTACCAACAATATATGTTGTAGCAGTACGAAGCTAACAGTTGCTTTCTACTAGCCAAGAGCGATGCGAAGGCAGAACTGTGTCTTTCTGACACCAGTTAGGCTCCGCCCACAAAATATTGTTGTTTACAAACAGAAAAAATCCTTTTGTGAGGCTCTTTTTATTAAACCTGAACGTGGGAGAAAGACCCTGCAGACCTCGTGCGTCCTGGTTAACATCGGTATGTTCCAGTTAAATCTGATGTTTCTGGTTCTCGCCGTTTTGTGTCTGAGGAGGAATGTGAAGCCACTGACTGATCACATGATGTGAAACATGTCAACACTCAGCTCAGGAGTTACGTAACAGATTTATCATCTGATGACGTTAATCTGACCTCTGACAGGAGGACACAAACTCTTTCCTGCAGGACACTTTCAGTCAACAAGCAACTTTTTGTGTTTTCTGTAATTGGCCGACTGTCTGCAGGTTCCTGAAGAGCCGCTTTACAACTGCGATGCTTTTAAAATCATTGTAAAACACGTCCTCCTGTCTCTGACTGTGTGTGGACCAGTTTATACTGAGGGGTGTCGCTGAAACTCGCCGTCCACTCAGAAACATCAGGACGGCTTTCTGCTGCTCAGCAACACAAACTCAGAGTTTTACTGTGTCAGTCTCCCGTGTTTGTTTTCAGCTTTTTGTCCCTCAGGTCGGCCCGTACACACAGGAAGTGAGTTTGTTATTTTCAGCACTTTCAGAAGCATCTGTCTTCTTTGAAAAAAGCGTATAATAACTGAAATATGACAGAGTTTAAAGGATTAGTCGATTTGATGAATTTCATATAAATCAGATGGTGATTGCCATACAAGGCTTACTTCCTGTTTCCAGTAGGTGGCGTTCAGGGTCGGACTCTTATCAGACATGTGAAGTTGATTCGTTCAATTCCTTACAAAGTGTTTGTTACAATAAATGAAAATGGCAAAAACAGCACCAAAATGGCACATTAAATTCAAAATGGCTGACTTCCTGTTGTTGTTGTTATAATAATAATAATAATAATAATAATAATAATAATAATAATAATAATAATACATTTAATTTATGGAGCGCTTTTCAAGAAACTCAAAGACACTTCACATGAGTTAAAAGAAAAAGCTAAAAACAACACACTTAGAAATTATAGCTATATCTACAACAGTCAACAATAATTATTAAAATCATTAAAAGCAGTTGTGAAAAGGTGGTATTGATCAGTGATTTTAAGTTGGATCGGTACAGTCTCTGATGTGTTTTGGGGAGAGAGTTCCAGAGGGAGGGAGCAGCTATGGAGAAGGCTCTGTGGCCCCAGGTACGATGCTTGGTCCTCAGTGGTGGAGACAGGAGGTTGGCATCAGAAGAGTGGAGGCTTCAGGAAGGAGTGTGGAGATGGAGCAGGTCTGTGAGGTAGGAGGAGGCCTGGTTGTGGAGGGCTTTGTGAGTGAGGGGAAGGACTTTAAATTGGATCCGTTGTCGGACAGTGTGCCAGTGGAGGTTCTGTAGGACAGGGGTGATGTGGTCATAGGAGCGGGTATGGGTGAGTATAAGATGCTGTTGCAATAGTCAGTTCTGGATGTGATGAAAGCATGGATGAGGCTCTCAGCAGCAGAAGAGGAGAGTGATGGGCAGAGGCGTGCAATGTTCTTCAGGTGGAAGAAAGCAGTTCTGGTGATTTGGTTGACGCAGTGTTGAAAGGAGAGGTTGCTGTCGAAGATGAGTACGAGGTTGCGTATCTGTGGGGAGGGAGACATTGTCTTCAGGGTGCTATCGAGCCACTTTGTCACATCTATGCCCAAGATTGCGTGTTTCATGAGTTTGTGAGCATCTTTTATTTCCATAAATATTAATAATAATCGGTCAGAAATATAAAGATGGGAAATAAACTCAATAAACAACCAATAAACATTTTAAAGAACAAATGATCAATTGAAAAAATCATCAATAATAAAAATTGTTAGTTTCTTGACATTCTGTCTCTCTAGTAACACACACACACACACACACACACACACACACACACACACACACACACACACACACACACACACACACACACACACACACACAGGACTGTTGAATATTTCAGTTGGGGGGAGGAGCAGCTCCTCACGCTTCAGTTGAGGCTGAAATATTTATCCGTCGATGGGGAAGAGGGAGGAGGAGGCGGGGCCAGAGGAGGTGTGATGCTGCTGTGCTGTTGCTAGGGGAACAGAGAGGGAGGAAGCTGTGTGTGTGTGTCTGTGTTGAGGGGGTCGGTGGGTGGCGTTGACACCGATCCTGCTGCTGCTGCTGTGTGTCGGCGTGAAGCTGCAGCAAAGACGAGGATGCGGCGATGATGCAGACGGCGAGGCCGCAGGGAGGGAGGTAAGAGCAGGAGACAAAGAGGGAGAGACGGAGGGATGGAGGTCGGAGGGTGGAGAGAGAGAGAGACGCTGCAGTGGAGACAGAGAGGGACGGAGAGATGGAGGTCTGTCTGTAACCTGATGCTGCAGAGTCGCCTTTCCTCTGATGACCTGAATACACGTCGAGTGTTCAGACGCGTAAAGCTTTATTTTATTTTTTATTCTTCACTCGTCCTGATAATCCTCCTTTTGTCTGTTCACTCTGTCTGGTTTTGTTCTGATTATCGACACACATGTAGAATTAATTGCTGTGGCAGATTTGTTCCCTTTAAAGAAGAATTTTTGCTTTTATTTTGTTAAAAAAAGATGCTGCTTGTTGTAATTTGTCCAATTAGTCTTCAGTAACACCAGAGACACATCCAAACCCGGTACCGGTACCGGTACAGGACAAAAAACCCACCATGCAAAGGAAAACGAGAGGTTATCCACTACACTGTAAAACCTAATGAATAAATTCAACTCAGACTGGTGAGGAAACCAATCACCTTAAACCGTTTTTGGTTTATTAACAAACAATTGAAGCATTAAAAAATATTTGATTTTATTAGAAATAACTCAATATTTATTGTTAGAGTAACTTTGGGTCCATTTAGTTAATTTAATTAAGTCCATTCAGTTAAGTCACACTCATATGCAGCATTTCTCCAAACTTATTTAAAATATGTTCACAGAATAAAGTCACTTAAATACATCTTAGTCATACAAATGTTACCACCAAATTGAATTTTAACGTTTTCGTGTCATAGCAGATGTAGGCAGCGCTATAATCAAGTATTTTAAAGGGACAGTGGAACCCAAAATCAAAAATCCTCCTACCTCTAGCGTTGTTTACCCCTACCTAGATGGTTTTGGTGTGAGTTGCTGCGTTTTAGAGATATTGGTCTTCTTTCAGATATAATTTCTAGAATACATTGTTGCAGCAGGACTCAAAACTGTGAAAATCTCACACACAAACATTTGTGTAAATCCTGCTTTTCTGTCCAGTAACTTGTGGAGTACCTCAGGGGAGCATCCTGGGTCCTCTGAACTTTCTAAAGTATAATTTTTTTGGCCTTTATGCCTGTATTTGATAGGGAGATAGACAGGAAAGGGGGACAGAGAGAGAGGGGATGACATGCAGCAAAGGGCCGCAGGTTGGTTTCAAACCCGGGCCGCTGCATATATGGGTCACCAGCTCTACCGACTGAGCAAACCGGGCGCCCCGTCCTCTGAACTTTCTGTGAATTCTTCAGATTTTCCACTTGCGGAGCTCAAAGCACCAAAAACTCAGCAGCAGTCTCTCTTTCCAGAACTCATGAGCCGGTTACTGAAGATAATAGACAGTCTTTGTTGTGAGCAGTTTCATGTAGGAACTATTTTCTTTCTACGTATCACAGCAGCACAAGCCAAGTGCCATCTGATCGTTTCTTATGAAATTCCTTTATTAATCGATGGAATAATTGGTAGAATACTTGATTACTTATTTAGTTAATCGATAGCTGCAGACCTTACATTTATTAAATATGTTTTCAGAGAAAATTCCTGGATTTCTCTTAATAAAATGTGCAGTTATACCTAATGAATATTCAGTAATGGACCCTGTAGAGCGTCTGGGATGTGCTGGTTCAGTCGCAGTAAACCCTGTGTGAAGAGATGGTTTGTTTTTTTTATGTGTGTGTGTGTGTGTGTGTGTGTGTGTGTGTGTGTGTGTGTGTGTGTGTGTGTGTGTGTGAGCAGACAGGGTGTGAGTCTGAGCACATGGAGACTGAAAGAAAACAGGAAGAGATGATTTGACCCAGTTTAAAGGAGGAGGAAGAGGAGCAGGAGGAGGAGGAGGAGGATCTCACACAGCAGGAGAGGATGTGATGTAGATTTGGTGATTTATTGTCAGTTATTTTTTAATTTATTTTTTGGGGGCTTTTTATTGCCTTTATTTAATAGGGACAGCTGAAGATAGGCAAGGTCGCCAGCTCTACCCACTGAGCTAACCGGGCGCCCTATTGTCAGTTATTTTATAGTTTGTGTTTTTGAAATACGGTTTTAATTGTAAATTAAATGAAGCATTAAACTGTATCTCCATCAGAATAGTTGACAGCTAATTACGACTGTTCATTAGGACGTTCAGAGGACCCAGGATGCTTCCCTGAGGGACTCCACAAGTTATTCATTCAAACAAAAACATTTTTACATTTTATCTTAAAAATGATTCAAAACGATTAGTCTATTTTCCAACTGGTTGATAATTAACTGACAAACAACTCTTCAGCAGTACACAAATACTATGTTCCTGTTTTTATTCATTTTGATGGACTTGATGCAGTCTTACCAACAATAAGAACACAGTAATAAAAGGTCATCTTACTACAGAACTGAATTGTATGTTTTGAAGTCAGTAAACCTTCGTCTGTGTGTCAGACTGATCCAGAGTCAGTGTGGAGGTGTTTGTAGACGGTTTTCAGACCGTTGGGCTGTGAAGGTGTCAGACTGCAGCAGATGGCTCCGTGCTGCGTTTACAGCCAGGAAACAGTCGGAAACTCTGGATGGAAAAAACCCATCGTTCCACGTGTTCATCACTTACTGCAGGAGGAAATATAAACATGTATTTAAACTGAGCTGAGCCTCAGAGCTGCAGCACACAGCTAGCCTGCGAGAAAACATAAAAACAATAATTCATTGTACCACAATCAGCATTTTTTCGTGTGTGTGTGTGTGTGTGTGTGTGTGTGTGTGTGTGTGTGTGTGTGTGTGTGTGTGTGTGTGTGTGTGTGGACAGGCGGTGTGAAAGGTTAACCAGAGCTCTGCAGTCTGCAGGGGGAAATGTGTCAGCGGCTGTCAACATTAATAATACTTCATATACTGTATGTGTGTGCCAGCGTCTTTAAAGCTCTAATCCACACTTTCACAACTGTGTGTGTGTGTGTGTGTGTGTGTGTGTGTGTGTGTGTGTGTGTGTGAGCAGCTGTAATACCTTCTTATCCTGAAGGTTTTAAATATCAAAGGAACGTCGACGTAAGAAGAAAATCATTTGTTGAGAAATACTGCTGGACTGGAACTATAGGACTGGGATTGGGGACCCAGCCATTGATGGTATATATAACGGACAGAGCTCTGGGTCTGCGAAGGGTCTTAAACCTGCATTATATGTAAAGGCCAGCAGGGGGGGCTCCATCGGCTGCAATAAGAGATCAATACCATTCAGTCTTATGGAGAAATGAGCCGACAGTTGATTTATGAGCTCAGTAAACAGTTTCCTGATGAGTTTCTGGTCTCAGTCTCTAGTTTCAGTCTTCTTCCATACAGCATGATGTTCATTTAGTAACTGATGGTCCCATTTAGAGTAAAACAGACCATAAAGCAGGGTATGCTTTAGGGCGGGGCTACCTTGTGATTGACAGCTCATTCTCAGTGAGTCCGTCCAGCTCAACGCACCAAAAAAAAAAGAAAAACATACAAAATACACTATGAACACAAAAAATACTAAATGGAACTATAGTGTGTGTGTGTGTGTGTGTGTGTGTGTGTGTGTGTGTGTGTGTGTGTGTGTGTGATGCACAATCAATGGATCTTAATCAACCATTAAGTGACGGCGCTCTCTAGTGGCCGTAGTAATTATACTGGGAGCAAAGGAGGAAGTCAGGTGACGTCGGTTTCGAACCAGTTTTGACTTTTTGCCAAAACCAGACCGGATCAGTAATACTATATTTTACCTGTCGGTGGCACATGTGAGCCCACAACTCGTTTTTGTTTTCCACCAGGGCCTCTGTCTGCTGAAACACTAGAAGGCTTTTAATTTGAAATGGTGTTGAGTTTGCAGTAACTTTAACAGAGCAGCTCAAAATGAGGCTTTATACTTCTGCTTCTTCTTCTGTAGCTACTACCTCGCTAACACAGCAAACAGATGTGATAAGCATGAGTGAAATATAGACCTGTAACCGTTAGTCGACTAGTCAATTAGTTAACGTGATTGAACAGTTTATAAGATGATGAAAATCAGAAAACGTCTCTTAGTGAGCTTTGGCTCTCGAATCGTTGCGTACAAGATTCTTGGTGTCATCTAGAACCAGCCTGTGTTTCCACCAGTTTTGAGTGGAACCGTAGTGATCAGTGATGCATCAATAGAGGGCGCTGCACAGAGACCTGTAGAATATGACAAGCCCACTTTGGTTCCCAAGGAAAATCTGCTTTTGTTCCAGCTGGGAATCAACTTTTCCAAACCAGTTTATTTATTGTCTATATGCTCGGAAACTCCAGTAGGCCTACACCTGTACATTATTGGTGTCAGCAGGCTGAAGAGTGAGAGTTTGAGTCATTCATTAACCTCTTAGTGAGATCTGATAGTAAACGGGACTGAACCTGCGTCCCTGCGGTCAGTGGAGGGTTAAAGAGGCCATCTGCTCCGAGGATTAACAGATTACATTCACTGAGAGTTCATCCTCAACAGCTGCTCTGAGATCAGGTGTTCATAATCCCGGTGTTGTCCGGTACGGAGACTGTAGGTGGGTTAACTGACTCCAGGTCAGTGTCCTCTTGCTCAGCAGTGGCGGGTCACTGGTTCTGTGGGACGGTCTGAATGGGACCAGTTGGGAGGTCTGTGCAGCAGCCGGCAGCATGCTGGGCTGGGTGGGAGCTCTGATCAACAAGAGCTGGCTGGACCGAGAGCGTTACGTCCCACCGTCCGAGCGGAAAGCTCGCCACGGACATGGACGGGTAAGAGAAGAGGGTCAGGTGACGGTGGAAGAGTCGTTATTTATCCGACACTTAAATCACTGCTCAAGATCTCCAACGGGAACCGCACTTTATTTTCTAGTAGCTTCTTGAGAGATGAGAGATGAAACAGCTCTCAGCATGTTAAAGAATATTTATCCAGTCCCTTCAGGAAGTTATTATATTATTATATTATACTGAATATTGCTGCTGCATTAATCTTGCACTTTACGACTTTATATACTGTCTGTAGTTGAATCTACAGCAATGAACTCAAACAGTGAACTCAGTAACTGCAGGACGTTTGTGTAAAAACACAGATTTGGATGAATTGTGATCAGATTGTTTCCTGTGAATATTGATCAGATTGTTTCCTGTGAATATTGATCAGAGATCAAGATTTTATAAAATTTTCTGTCTGTGTTATGTTTTTGAACAATCATACAGACTTTCAGACGTTTGGCTTGTTCTGTTCACTCTTTGTAATAACTGAGAATATTGGCCTACTGTGTATATTGTGAAGTTTTCCTGCATCCCTTATAATCAATAAGACCTCGCCAACCCCCCTGTGGCGACCGCTACTCAGGTTGGGAACCACTGATGTAAAACATCAAGGAAATGTTTAATGATTTTTGTTAAAGACATTTTACTTTATTAGAACTCATTTGCAACAACTTCCACTTTGTGGACTGTAATTTGAGTTTTATTCTGAAAGTCGCTCTCTCTTCCTGTCTTTGCAGCCGGTCCAGCGGTCCAGCGCTCTGCTCAGCCCGGCGGTCATGTTCAGCACAAGAAAGACCTGGGACCTCAGCCACGCCCCCTGCCTGCAGGAGCTCTGGAAGAAAGACGTCTCATTGGACGGTGAGTCGGGCGTCTGTCGCAGAGGAGGAGGGAAAAAAACCCACCAGCGTGGCTGCATTTCTGACAGCAGAGTGGTGTGTGTGTGTGTGTGTGTGTGTGTGTGTGTGTGTGTGTGTGTGTGTGGAGGTGAGTCATACCTGTCAGTAATGAATGGAGCTCCACAGCGAGAGGAGGAAACCTGAGAGTGTGTGAGAGAGAGACAAACAGGTGGGCTGAAAATATCACATTTAATTAATTTATTGATGTGTGTTTGCCGGCTGCGTGTTTCTCAGCTGATCGGTTTACAGTCCGAGTCCCAGCAGACGACGGATCGGGTTCACAAACACTGCAGCTTTTGTTTTACTCTACACACTTTTCTCTCTTGAGCTGATTGTGTTCTTTCATTATCCGCCGCTTTCTCAACCTGCGTTCAGAAACAAAAGTTAAGGTTTGTTAGTGTGCAACTATTTGTATTGATCATTCTGTAACTCTAAAACCAAACCGACATGGAACAAACAGTCCTTCTTATCCGTTCTGTGCTGTAACACAGACGTTAACCTGCGTTCCTAAAGGTCTTAAAGCGTGTTAAACTGACCCTGTTGAACCTGCAGTGCTCATGAATCAATACACTCAGTTAGAGCCTGTTTACACAACAGTCGAGTTCCCACGCGTCCTGGAAACACCTGGAAACACCTGGAAATGGATTCAAGTGGCCAGATGTCCTGGAAGATGTTCATTGTATTTCATCCCCTCGCTCGTTACTCCGGAGGGGACAGTACAGTCGCCATGGTAACTGCATTTGTTTACATATGTCATAGCTTCAGTCTGATACAAAAAAATAGTTATTGATTATTTCTGATCAAAGTGACGTCTCCAGGCTGTTTATTCAGTCTGATAACAGTCAGAAACACAGATCAGAAGAAGACTGTGTGTAACTGTCATTAAACTGTAGCTAACAGCGCCACCAGTGGCTGCTCAGTGAACTGCAGTCAGCGTCCGGTTGCAACCTACCTCACGCTTCATGCCGCCCATCGCTCTTGGCTGCTTGCGCCTTATGTGAGCTGTTATGTCTTTTATTTATGATGTCTTATTTATTCTCCTGTACAGCACTTTGGTCAACTTTGGTTGTTTTTAAAGTGCTTAACAAATAAAGTTGGATTGGATTGGCTAGTAGAAAGCTATCGTTAGCTTTGTACCGCTACATCATTTATTGTTGGCTAAAATCAACACTGTTGATGTTACATCACACACTGATACACACACTGATACACACACACTGATACACACACACACTGATACACACACACACACGATATGGGCAAAAAATAATATCTTGTTATCTTTTGGGATTTTGGCGATAACGATAATCAGTCGATATCTTTAAATGTGATTGGAATTGTCTGAGTTCGGTCTTGTGTCCACCAAACGCGTTTTTAGTGCTGAGAGCTCAAGAACTCATTGTCCGAGCGCCCAGCGGGGTCAAAGGTTGAACAGATTTCAACTGGAAGCGCTCTGAGCGCTAAAAAACGTTTCCGCGGGCGTTTCATTGTTTTTGTCGAAGTAATTTAAATACTCGATAATGGAAATTTGCACATCGTGAAAACAACAATGACGATATTATCGCAAACGATATATATCGCCCACCTCTAACACACATACACTGATACACACACTGATACACACATAAACATAAATATAGAAGCTGACGTTGACGTAGATTTGTAAGGAGTGTGTGTCATATTTTCAGCAGTGTCAACATTCACTGTCATCCAGAAAACGCAAACGCAGCAACTGTGTGTGTGTGTGTGTGTGTGTGTGTGTGTGTGTGTGTGTGTGTGTGTAATCCTGTTTTACAGTCAGTCAGTGTGTCGCTGCAGTTCAGTATTTAGTGTAAAGCAGTTTCTCCTTAGTCCACGTGTACAGGTCTGAGCTGTGTGTGTGTGTGTGTGTCCTGTTAAGTCTCAGATTTGTCCCACAGAGTGCAGATTGTTCTCAGGTTGATAAGATTTGAGGCCTTGTAGAAGAAAACTTGTGCACACACACACACACACACACACACACACACACACACACACACACACAGGTAGAGCAGGTTAATGTGTCAGCGGCTGCTATCAGTATCACTATCTGTCAGCTGTTATCTGGTCGGACTGGTTTCCATGGTATTCAGGAGGAGTGCTGCTGGTTCAGGAACAGGAGGAGTGTGTTTCAGGAGCAGGAATTCGGGTTGTTTGTTGCTTCGACCTCAATAATCACTGATCACTTACAAATCTGATTAAAGACTCTGCTCATTTTGTCCTGAAGGGATTAACATACACATGTAGATCAGGAGGAATGTGGAGGTTTCGACATGTGGACTTAATGGAGTTTATTTCTGTGCAGATTTGTGTTCATTTGTTGGTCAGTGCAAACACGTCCCCACTCTCTCTCTCTGAGTCTGTCCTGATTATCCAACTGGTGTCCTCCATTTTTATTCATTAGCTGAGTTTACTGATCAGTTGATAACAACCGGTCGAGCTAACGGCTAAAATCCAGCAGACACCAGAGCTGCTCGCGCCCAATTTATAAGACCAGATGACTGAATGAATCCCTCCTGTGTGTCAGTAGCGAGCTCAGTGGACTTCCTGATGAGTGATGGTGAAGACGACGGCTCCTTCCTGTCTCTGCCCACCGCCGCCTTCTCACAGCGCCCCTCTCTGACTGCAGAGCTGACCGAAACAAACGCACCCAGCCAGCAGCTGCTCATCCAGGTAACACACAAATTAAATTTATAGTGGAGACAAAACGTCATCTCTAAACTAAAAGTGGAGACAAAACGTCATCTCTAAACTAAAATCACGTAGTGTTAACTGGCTTAAAAAGGACGCAGGATATTCAGTCGCACATATGTTCATGTTCATTCTCTCATCGTCTCATTGTCTCATCGTCCACCTCTGTTCATTTGTCTTCTGTCCTCCTGTTTCCATTTTTCCACGCTGTCCTCCACCTGCAGAGGGTCACCTGGTCCTGCTGGTGGACTCCTGCCAACGTAAAAACCTTCATTCTGTCTCAGTCTCAGAGCTTCTTCCTTTTCTTTCCTGTGTTTTCATCCCTCTCTACCTGCACTTTCATAGAGCGGTAGATGTGTTTGCGGTTTCCTCTTAGAAACAGCTCTTTAGTCCGCCTGACTGAATGCGTGCGGCTCACTCTCCGTGTTTCTGTGTGTTCAGACTCTACAGGACAAAGTGTGTGAGTTTCAGGCTCGTCTTCGCTCTGAGGAAGTCACTCGTCACCTGCTGCTCCAGCAGCTGCAGCAGCACAGCGTTCAGGAGAAGACGAGCGTTGGTGGAAGCATTCAGACGTCCGCCGCGCCCAACGGTGAGAACAGCTGGTGGTCCATACACATCATGTCTGTGAAGTTTGTTATCGGAGCAGACTGATATATGGGAGAACACATTGATAGAGAAACATCAACCACAGAGCTCTGACTAATAACTAGTGTCGCCCTTTAATCTGTCTCACTGCAGCGGTTTGAGGCCGAGATAAACGACTCACGACTGTTTGAGTGTTTGCATCGACTTTGTAGTTAATCTACTTACCTAAATTTGTGTTAGGTGGGAACGCAGCATCAGAAGTATCAATATCAGCCTCAGAAATCAATTCTTTGCACTCAACATCACAAACTGTGTTCCTGTGGCACGGACTGCAGACGGAGGGCAGGAAGTGAATTTCTACTCTGGACCAGAAACTCTCTGAATCCCTGTTTTGTTTATGGTCGCTCAAATAGATCGATGTTGTTCTTAAAGAAAAAAAATGGACAGACAAACACTGTCTGCCTATTTAAAACTCTCTATCAGTTTATTAGTAGCTGTATTTAGAATATTTGACCTCGCTGTTGGACCTTTCTGACAGAGAACTGATTTAATAAACCTTTAATAAAAACACTAATTTCGACCAGAAACTCTGACAAGTAAAATTAGTGTTTTTATCAATGGAGTCTGGTGGCTTTGAAGAGAACCAACGATTTTATTTACAGTTCTGCTAATTTATTTTCGTGGAAACGATCAAACCGTACTCAGAACCGCTGACAGTAACCCTGTGTGTGTCTGTAGGAGTGAGGGTGTTACAGCCAGGTGAACCTTCAGATCGTCTCAGCTGTCCAGAAGAAGAGCAGCTCGTTACTCGGCTGCGCACACAGGTACGTCTACAGTAAATGCATCACACCTGTACAGGAAACACTTATGTTAGCATGTTTACATGGTCACATGGATCAGGTTGTGAAACCATCAGTAGAGTCTGAGCTGGGTTTGTGTGAACCTGAGGGCGTGTCACAGAACAAGCACAGGTGATGCGTCACTGAATGTAAAGAATAAAGAGATATAATTACAGCTGACAGGTTGGAGGAGGTATATTTAGTTCACTGTGGTGGTGCTGTGTTTGCAGGTGGAGGAGCTGGAGGAGAAGCTGTTGGATCAGACTCAGGAGGTGGAGAGACTTCGCTCTGAACTGGTGAGACCCTGCTGGACCACATTCCTGAGGAACCCTGGGAAAAACTCTCACACCGTCGCACATTACAGCCGTGTTAGGGCGTCACATGGAAGCAGACACAGAACACTGACGTTATTACCTGATAATACTGGTGACAGAACGTGGTTGTTATTATAAAGGTGTTTAAATGATTGTGTCCTCCTGTCCTACAGGGGGCGACAGACCTGGAGAAGCAGCTGGAGCTGCTGGTGGTGGAGAACCAGCGTCTGAAGCAGGAGCTGAAGTCATGCAGGAGCTCAGAGCTTCAGAGCCTCGACGCTGCTGCAGAGACCTGCAGCTGCAGCCACTGCCCTCACAGCCAGGTAGATATACAGGTAGATATACAGGTAGATAGATATACAGGTAGATATACAGGTAGATAGATATACAGGTAGATACACAGGTAGATATACAGGTAGATATACAGGTAGATAGATATACAGGTAGATATACAGGTAGATATACAGGTAGACAGATGAACAGGTAGATATACAGGTAGATATACAGGTAGATAGATGAACAGGTAGATATACAGGTAGATAGATGAACAGGTAGATATACAGGTAGATAGATATACAGGTAGATAGATATACAGGTAGATACACAGGTAGATACACAGGTAGATACACAGGTAGATAGATATACAGGTAGATAGATATACAGGTAGATATACAGGTAGATATACAGGTAGACAGATGAACAGGTAGATATACAGGTAGATATACAGGTAGATATACAGGTAGACAGATGAACAGGTAGATATACAGGTAGACAGATGAACAGGTAGATATACAGGTAGATAGATATACAGGTAGATAGATATACAGGTAGATAGATATACAGGTAGATACACAGGTAGATACACAGGTAGATATACAGGTAGATATACAGGTAGGTAGATGAACAGGTAGATAAACAGGTAGATATACAGGTAGACAGATGAACAGGTAGATATACAGGTAGATAGATATACAGGTAGATAGATATACAGGTAGATAGATAAACAGGTAGATACACAGGTAGATACACAGGTAGATACACAGGTAGATATACAGGTAGACAGATGCACAGGTAGATATACAGGTAGACAGATGAACAGGTAGATACACAGGTAGATATACTGGTAGGGGTTTGGAGCTGGCTTTGGAGTCCAGGTGAAGGTGTCTCACTTAAACCCCGCCTCCGTCCACAGGATGCCGAGTCCCTGCGGAGGGAGGTGTCTCGCTGGGAGAGCCAGGCCCGGCAGAGGGAGCGACGGCTGGCTGAGCTGGAGCGAGAGCTGCTGGAGAAAAGCTCCAGAGCCGAGAGTCTCCGCCGGCAGCTGGACGAGTCGACCCGGCAGCTGGACGACGGCCGCAGGCAGCTGGAGGAGGCGAGGAGGAGGCAGAAGGAGGCCGAGCAGAAACTCTCCCTCCGACTGCAGGAGTGTGAGGAGGAGCTCGCCAGGCAGGCAGCAACGCCCCCCAGAGTCAAGGTGGGGAGAGGCTGGTTAGAGACTGGTTAGAGGCTCTCAACAATCAATAACTTTGGAGGGCCGATATTGTCCTTAACACAGATATATGTTGATATTTGTTTCACAGTAACTCACTAAATATATTCCTCTCACACACTCACACAGCTCTGCATGTTTGTACAGTTAGTATTTTCATTGAGTTTGTTTGTTTGTCCTCCAGTATGTGACTCACACTGTGGAGGTGGAGTCAGCTGACTCTCAGAAAGCTCTGGCCGAGCTGCAGACGAAGAACGCCGGCCTGCAGGAGCAGCTGTCTGTGCAGAGGCAGCTGCTGAGGGAGCTTGAGACACAGCTGCACGAGTCACAGAGGACCTGTGCTCAGCTCAGGACACAGGTAACAACACGTCTGTCTGTCTGTCTGTCTGTCTGTCTGTCCACTGAACACCTGTACACCTGTATGTCTGTATGTCTGTCTGCTGAACGTCTGTCTGTCTGTCTGTCTGTCTGTCTGAGTCCCAAACAGCTAACCTCGCTCAGGGAGTCTGCAGCTGGCTGCATGAAGCAACTGTTCCTCTTGTTCTCTGTCCAGATGTGTTAGCTTAGCACAAAGACTGGAAGCAGGGGGAAACTGTTAGCGTCCCCCCGAAGAGACAGAAATACACTTTACCTTCCAACGACACATTTTTGACTTTTGATGTCAGAAAGTTCCTTTTTGATATTTCAGTAACGTTCCACTTGTTGAATCCATCCCGACTTTAATCACTTTAATGTGTGTGTGAAACAATCGGACAGATTAACACACACCTGAACCTGCAGTTAACTCTCAATCAGTTCTGGACTCAACACGTTGCTTCATGCGACCAGCGACAGTTCACCAACAATCTCAGCAGCCATGTTTGACCTGGACCCTGATTTCCCATCATGCTTCCTGTCTTGGGTCAAAGCGTGTGACCAGTTTAACCCCTCACCTCTACGGTTACTCTTCTTCTCTCTGCATGCGCTCGGCTGCAGCTGCTCACCGATCGCGGCCGCCTGTGCGGCTTCCTGTCCAAGGCCGTCGGCAGGGGCAACGGCGAGATGGTTCGCAGGTTGTCCAAGGTTGGCCCCACCCCCCTCCACTCCCCTGACCATGTGACATCCCTGAGGTTCAGAGGTCACAGCGAGTGAGACTGACTGAGAGCTCAGGCTCTAAAGCTGCCAAATGAACTACAATACTCAATAACTCCATCAGGACCAGATTATCAATGATTATATTATTAATGAATGATTCATACTGATCATTCTGGGCCTATAAAACCTGAAGGCGACTGGTGAATTGTTGTGAATTAGTTTGAAAGTAAGACATGAAATAGTTTGGAAGGTTTCCTAACTGGTTAAACTGGTTTTACTGGGAAGCTTTGGAGCCTGTCAGACCCTCCAGTCTGTTATATGAACCCAGTGACTCTCTCCCAGTGCTCCCCGTTGTTTCCCACCATTAAGGCTGCGTTCACACTGCTACCATTAAAGCTGATTTATTCTGTTATCTCCTTCTTCAGTGTGGCCTCTATGTAGCTTAGCTTAGCACAAAGACTGTAAGGAAGAAAGGAGGAAACTGTTAGCTAACCAGCTAGTCAGCAGTCAACCAGCTGTTACACAGACATAGCACAATTAGCTTATAGGCTGTTTTACAAAGTATTTAAGGCCACTGCAGTGACCGTATTAGTGTTCATATTTATTTATTTATTAATATTTCACTGTTGACGCGAATCGTAGCAAATCAAATTACCTGCTAGCAGATTAGCCAGTTAGCAAACGAGCTAGCTATCTTGTTTCCTTCAAACAAACTAGACGACGTAAAGCTCCTTATATTTATTATTTAGACTGAATTTGTTAAAGAAACAAGAAAATGAGATGATATGATGAAGTAGTGCATTTTGACTTTGACGCTAACTGCTGCTAAGCTACAATATCCTGTTTCTGAATCAGAGTTGTTGGAAGCTAAGCTAACAGTTTCCCCCTGCTTCCAGGTATTATGCTAAGCTAGGTGAAACACATGCTGACTGATGTCCGTGTTCTTTTCTAAATGTGGTAAAGTTTAAAATCTTTGAGCGATCTGTTGTGTGAATGTAGCCTTCCTGTTTTTCAGGCTCCGCCTCCTGAACCTTGTACACCTGTGTGATCAGATTTACCTGTGTGTTCTCCTGTGGGATTAGCTGGCTTATTGTAGTAGCTGTTGTTTGTGTTGATGTGTATGATGTTTTAAATTAGATTATTGTGAACGTAATCTTCTGAAACTGACCTTTTGTCTATCAGAAACAGCCGTAATATCACTATCACTCTCCACCAGACTCCATTCATAAAAACACTCATTTTACCTTCAGATCATCGTAACTTCATCAAAGTGGACAGAAACAGAATAAAACTGATTAAAAGCGTCTCTGTTAGTGTTTCCAACAATCACCAACTCTGGTTTGGTGGAAATAAATCCTTAATTCACCGACGTAGATGATAAAAACAGCAGTTTCAGTCGGAGCAGACCGGCTATGGAAACAAACCACAGAGAGGCTGCGATACAACACAGGCAGAGGGAGAGAGACACCATGTGACTCTGCTGTTAACAGGGTGGTGGTGGTTGTTATACTGTTATACTGTGAGACAGGATAATAACTCCTCCTCTTATCAGCAGCAGTACACTGTTGATCTACCTGCTGATGACCTCCATCAGTCTGTCCTCTGGTCTCAGATCATGTCTGTCTGACCCCTCCCTCCAGATCCTGGTGTACGAAGGGGAGATGGAGCGAGCTCAGGGCCAGCTAGAGGCGGAGATGCAGAACCTGGAGGAGGAGAAGAACCGCGTGATCGAGGAGGCGTTCATTCGAGCCGAGAGCGAGATGAAGGCCGTCCACGAGAACCTGGCGGGTCAGACGCTGTTTCCCATTTGCCTTCCTGTGTCACGGTGTGTTTGGACTCGGCGTGCTCAGAGTGTCGTTGTTGTGTTTCAGGGGTGCGTATGAACCTGCTGAGTCTGCAGCCGGCCCTCAGGACTCTCACCTGCGACTACAACTGTCTGAAGAGGCAGGTGCAGGACTTCCCCTTCATGCTGGACAAAGCTATCACTGAGGCCAAGCAGGAGGTGAGTGAGCACATTCAGTACACCAGCAGCTGTGTCTCAGGAGCCAGTTTATGATCATTGTGAGGATGCATTAATGGAGCAGTGCTCCAACAGTAGGGGGCAGCATTTCACCTCCTCCCTCCCTCAATTCAGTGACTGAGTGTCCTCAGATATATAATATAATATAATAATAATGCTGAGTTACAATACGGCAGCAAGAAGTGTTAATTCTGAATCATCTGAACCCAAAATAATCAGCTGTTTCTGTGATTTCACGTCAATAAACCGATCAGTATGATGCTGACTCTGTCGGCCTGTGAGTGAGAACAAACCACTTTAAAAATGCTTGTTTTCTGAGTGGAGTTTGGTTTATCAGCAGACTATACAGACGTTGCAGCTGTTACCTCTTTTCATGAATATTTTACACCCTGCTCCTTTTAAAGTCATTTCAGTTTGAGTTGGTTATTTTCAACATATAACATTTTATATGAAGGTCCTGAAAGTATGTTTCTCTTATTCTTATTGTTTCTTATTGTGTGTGTGTGTGTGTGTGTGTGTGTGTGTGTGTGTGTGTGTGTGTGTGTGTGTGTGTGTGTGTGTCAGATCTGTCAGGTGATCAGCGAGGTGAGCAGCACCAATCAGGAGCTGCTTCGTAAATACAAGCGAGAGATGAACCTAAGGAAGAAATGTCACAACGAGCTGGTCCGACTCAAAGGTCTGAAACTGCCTTCACTCTGTTTTTATCCAGTATTTCCTCCAGTTAGCATCATTAGCATCATTAGCATTAATAATCAGCTTTATGAACAATATCTCAGCAGCTGATTGGCTGATTGGGACAATATAGCAGGTTTGGGGTTATTGAGGACGCTGAATCCATTTTTTAACCAGAAGTGACCTATAGTGTCAGATTTCGATTGATTTTGAATCCATTTTGAGGTTTATACGATTAACACTGCCATCCAGAGGCTAACTGCAGTAACTACTAGAACAGTAGTTATGTGCTTATTAAACATATTTTCTTTGAGTCATTTTCATGGCATTAAAATCATGACCGATTTGACCTTAGTGTTAAGACATTAACTAGTCTGAGTGTTTAAATTCAATCTGTATTTCTTATTGTTTGCATGTTTCAAAGGTTTAAATTAATTAAGAAGAAAATAAAGCAAAAACATTTTTTTTAACCTGTTGAAAACTTCCCTGAATGTTGTTAAAATCTCCAAACTTCCAGAGAGAATCAGAGTATTCACAGATATTTATAATAGAAATTAATAGAAAACCAGTTGGTGAAAAGTCGATACGTCCTGTTCTGGTCTGAAATCCCCCCGTGTTCCCGCTCTCTGTGTCCAAGGTAACATCCGTGTTTTCTGTCGCGTCCGGCCTGTCAGTCAGGAGGAGCAGGACTCCGCCGACGCCAGAACCATGCTGAGCTTCGACTCGGAGGACGACGCTGTCCTCTACCTCTCCAACAAGGGCAAGATCATGACCTTTGAACTGGACAAAGTCTTCGCCCCTCAGGCCACGCAGGAAGAGGTGGGTGCCTCCTCGCAGGAAGTGACAAAACACTCAGAAACTGAGTAACTTCTAAGTCCGACTTGGTCGTTACGCCGGTTGCATCCAGGCCTCTCGTTACTGATTCCTTCTTTCAGTGCGTGTTAAAGCAATAAAGGTGGAAATTAATGACATTCAGTAAAAAGTAACTGTGTGTGACGGTCTGATGACTTTTATCTGCCGTTAACAAGGAATATCTTTAACAACGATGTGTTTTACACTCTGTAGCAGTTTGGACCAGGATTAGTGAAGACCAGCTGGTACAACCCGCCCCAGATGAGGCCTTAATGATAGATGAATGTGACAGTGTGACAGTGTAGGCGGGTCTAGGGGTTGAATCAGTCAATCAAACTTTATTTGCATTTCAAAGTGCTTCACAGGTGTTGAGACAGAATGGAATAAAAATTAAATGAAGTAGATTCAAAAATAGAATTCAAGATAAAAAATTGAAATAAAATACAATACAACCCATTTTACAGGTATAATGTTATAAAGTTGAACTAAAAACTAAATAAAATAAATTAAAGCAGGCAGCAATAACAAAAAAAAACAATAAGGGATCAGCGCTCATCTTCGCTCCATTCAGTGTTTCTTCTGGTGTATTATCCAGATGAGTAAACGGTCACTCTGATTGGTCCACCAGGTGTTCCAGGAGGTCCAGTCTCTGGTCACTTCCTGTATCGACGGCTTTAATGTCTGCATCTTCGCCTACGGACAGACCGGATCGGGGAAAACGTACACAATGGAGGTCGGAGGAGTTTGTTTCTCAGTAATGTGGTTTTATATCGACTGTCGGTCCTTTATTTACACGTGTGTGTGTGTGTGTGTGTGTGTGTGTGTGTGTGTGTGTGTGTGTGTGCGTGTGCGTGTGCGTTCAGGGCGTGGTGGACGACCCAGGCATCAACCAGCGAGCTCTCCGCCTGCTGTTCTCCGAGGTTACGGAGAAAGCTCCGGACTGGGACTACAAGATCACCGTCAGCATGGTGGAGATCTACAACGAGACGCTGCGGTGAGACGCTTCGCATCATTAATTCTTAACAACTACTGGACGGATTACCGGTTACCACGGTGATGGCAGTTTCAGAGCAGTTATGTAAAGGTGGATCATATTAAATGTCATCAGTTTAGCTCCAGCTGTCTGCCAGCTGTTGTGTAACAGAACATCTGTTTAAAGCCTTTGATGACTCAACATCTGGATGTTGGATGGACAGTTTCTGCAGAAATGTTCCCAGAACTCTGAGATTAAACTCTCAGATTATCAGTCAGATCAGTTTAATGGAGCTTCATCTGTTCCTCACAAAAAACTACATTTAAAACAGAGAAAATAGAATTTACTGTCACTGGAGGTGAAGCTAAGCTAACGTTGGCTTCATGAGTTGGCTGACTTTTTAATATTTCCAGCTTACTTATTTTAAAATCTTAAAGTACAACCCACCAGACACCATTCAGAAAACCAGTCATTTTACCTTGCGGATAATAAAACACGACAGGATCTAAATAAACTCACCAAAACCGTCTTTGTTATTCTTTCTGCTGTCCCAACAATCACCAACTCCTATTATTGGTCCCCATAAACCATAATGATGAGTCTGGAAGACATGATTATCTGCAGTAGATGTGAGCACATGTAGGCACTAATGTAATGTTAGCTAATTATTGGGGACAAAACCTGTTTGTTAGTTGTTCTAACAATCAACAACTCTGGTTTGTTGCTATTTTAATTATATTATTATAGTCACATATAGTCTATAACTAGGGGTCTCTCACATCCAAACAATAACAAACAATGATGTTTGATGAGGTGGTGAAGCAGTGTGGGATCATGGGAGTTGTTGTCTTCACCACCATTGGCGTCATTGCAGTCAGCTTCTCCCGGTTAGGATTCCTTCAGTGTTCATGGTTCAGGAGGTTTCTACCGGGAGCCCAATGATCCACAGAGGTCTCCTCCTCTCCAACACAAACAGACCCGCTGATTAAAACCACTAAACACACTGAATAAAGCAGTTCCACCTTAAACACACTGAATAAAGCAGTTCCACCTTAAACACACTGAATAAAGCAGTTCCACCTTAACAATCACTGCTTCTCCCACGCTGTTGGACAGACAAAGGACGTCCCGGAGGGGCTGCGAGCCGAGCTGCTGCTAATGTTAGCTCAGCTTGTTTCTCTGATAACTTAAGATCCAGACGTCCGATGACTAAAATCCTTCATCCGGTTCAAATCTAGAGTTAAAAAGCACCAAGATCTAAACAGTGGATGGTAAACAGTCAAGGAACTAGAAGTGTGACGGGTTGTTTCAGCCCTGAGTCAGAGTCTGCAGTTTGTAAACTTCTCTGCTGTCCATCAGGAACCTGCTAGGGGAGAATCCCACCGACAAGCTGGACATCAAGATGAACCCTGACGGCAGCGGACAGCTCTACGTCCCCGGACTGACAGAGTTCACCGTCCAGAGCCCCGAGGACATCAACCGGGTGAGGACATCCTGCTCCACTCGTCCTTTCAGTGTAAAACACCTGCAGTCAGCAGCCGGTGTCTGGTATTTGTCTGAAACCTTCTGAGACGTTCAAACTGTTTTCATTCAACGTAATAATAATAATAATAATACATTAAATTATTAGAGGCGCCTCTCTGGGCACTCGAGGACACCGTACAACCAAAAAAAAAAACAAAAAAAAAAAAACAGCAAGAAATAAGAAACAGATAAGAAAAGACAATGTAGATGGTTAAGTGGGGTAGGCAGTTCTGAATAGGTGAGTACTTACTCACTACTCGTTTGTCAATCTTCACTTTCTGAGAGGAAATAAAAACTTAATCAGAGCTGAAACAGTCAATTAGTCGATTAGTTAATGGACCTTAGACATTTTTGAGAGCAAATAATAAGTTGATTTATCAAGAAGAAGAAGAAATGATTATTTTCAGCTCTGCAGATGATACATGTAAGTAGAAAGAATGAACTGTATGTTTACCTCTGACTGTGTGTGTGTGTGTGTGTCTGTACCTGTCCTCAGGTGTTTGAGTTGGGTCACATGAACAGAGCGACAGCCTGCACCAACCTCAACGAACACAGCTCTCGCTCACACGCTCTGCTCATCATCACCGTGTCTGGATTCAACTCTGCTACCGGGAACCGCACACAGGGTACACAAACAACTACATACATTAACGCATACCTTAACACACACACACACACACACACACACACACACACGTCTCATTTGGTGTGTTTTAGCCTTTAGTCTTGTTTAACTTTATGAATTCATGTTTCCTCTTAACTTTATTACCACCTTAAAATCTCCCAGTTTTGTTTTTGAGTTGAAGCATTGAATATGTTTCACATATAAAACCGTATCATCTGCGTAACAGTTGATATTATGGTGACGATATAGTTAATGTGTGAACAGTGAAGGACCCAGCACAGAGCCCTGTGGTGGAATGCGGTTTTGATGGTTTTTGGTGATTTTGGTTGCAGGTAAGCTGAACTTGGTGGACCTGGCGGGCTCGGAGAGGATCGCCAAGTCGGGGGCAGAGGGCAGTCGTCTCCGAGAAGCTCAGTGCATCAACAAATCTCTGTCGGCGCTCGGAGATGTCATCAATGCCCTGCGTAGCAAACACTCCCACATCCCCTTTCGAAACTCCCGCCTCACCTACCTGCTGCAGGACTCCCTGAATGGGGACAGCAAGACCCTCATGATGGTCCAGGTGAGACCAGGACCGGGACTACAGGACTGGATTCTACAAATCCATTATCAATTAATCTGCCCATTTATTAAGAGTCTAAAAAGAGTTTTTTTTTTCGTTTTTATATTTGCTGATCGACGTGCTGATCGATTGATCGACGTGCTGATCGATTGATCGACGTGCTGATCGATTGATCGACGTGCTGATTGATTCCCTCTCTGTGGTCTGCAGGTGTCTCCACTGCCGACCAACATTAGTGAGTCGGTCTGCTCACTGAAGTTCGCTCAGCGCGTCCGCAGCGTCGAGCTGAGCTCTTCGTCCTCCAGGAGACACGAAAACTCGTCCACCTCATCCTCGCCGACGCATGACAGCGTTGAGGTAACGGGCGCCGTTAGTGACGTCACTACAGCATATTTACTGATTTGTTTTATTGTTTTTCTTAAACTCCTGTCGGCAACAATATTTAATATTGGCTCTAAAATGCTCCGAACAAATAATAGTTAAATATAGAATATTCATTAATGACATAATATAAATTAAAACAAAGTGATAATATTTTTGGTAAAATATTTTAATATGAAGTAAAAAAAAAAAAAGACAATAAATAAAACAAATATTGATGATTTTTATATTTCATGTCGACCTTTGACCTTTCCTCAGCTGGACTCCCCCCCGGTGACTCCCGTCCCTCTCCCAATCTCTCGGGCCAGCAGCGCCGGCTCCACCCTCTCCTCCGCCTCAAGAACTCCCAGCAGCTCCCGCAGGAGGTCCCAGTCCCAGCTGTCCACAGGTACAGACACACACACCTGTACACACACCTACAGGTACAGGTACAGACACACACACCTGTATACACACCTACAGGTACAGGTACAGGTACAGACACACACACCTGTATACACACCCACAGGTACAGACACACACACCTGTATACACACCTACAGGTACAGACACACACACCTGTATACACACCCACAGGTACAGACACACACACCTGTATACACACCCACAGGTACAGACACACACACCTGTATACACACAGGTATATGTGTCTGCTTCTCTCATGGATTCAGTGTAATGTTGGTTTAGAGTCAATCACTCTGATTATTGATTGTTTCACAGCTTCTGCTTTACTGTTTCTGATCAATACGTAGAGAACCACTGACAGTACGACCTGTGGATGTAACTAATAAATAAATCAATTAATAGTTTGATCATTAAATCCTGAATGTTTTTAATCAGTTTATTTAAATATCAGTTTTTACGTGAGAACATTATAACCGCGTCCTTCAGTCTGGCGCTGATTGATTACTAATCATTGTTGCTAATAATTGATTATAAACTGATCATTGCAGCTCAACCTTCAAACTAAAAGTCTAACAGGAAGTGAAGTGCCTCTGGTTGCTGACAGACGGCATTATGGGAAACGTAGGAACTGAATAAAATCTTCCTGTGTGTCCTCATTCTGTGGTCTGATTGGTTGGTTTACAGACAGACAGGTAGACAGAGGCAGCCCATTGGTGGGGGACGGTGGGCAGGTAGGTGGGGGTGTATGCTGATTGGTGGATAGCTTGGCATGGAAGTGCTCAGCATGGCATGGCGCCCCCCTAACACTTCCCACCTCTAACCACAGAGCTTCTGCCTGTGCGCCTGCAGGCCCACAGAGCCCGCGGCCGGCTGCCTGCGCTGTTTGTGTCGCCTGTTTGAAACCTGGACGAGTTCAAGTCACAAGGAAATTACACGTTCAACATTTTAGGTTTCATCTCTCTGTCAGTACGTAGCCTAGCTTAGCATAAAGACCGGAAACAAAGGGAAAGTCTGATTCACAGGTTGTTAGCCAACCAGCTAACCAGCTAGCCAACAGTCCACCCTGTAGTCCGCTGGTTGACGACGACTTCAGGACGTTAGCGCCGTTA